AAAATCGAGGTATATAACTCCATACATTTAGACAAATCACTAAACAGGCAGCAATTTCTACCGCCCATCTCTCTCGAATCTCCTCTTCTCCGTCCTCTTAGAGGAAACAAAAAACCAGTTCTTCAGTATGGAATAAGTTGAAGCAAAGGTATAAGCTAAGATACACAAATTAGGCAATACACTAAAGTGGTCAGGCCTTGAAGTGGCTAGAAGACACACAGTAACTGAAAATGCGCATAAACTTGAACAATACACCTGATCTGTTCTTTGTTTGTGCTACAAACAGAGAAATGGTATTTGAGTGGAGAAGAGAGATTTTCATAAAAACGAGAATTTATGTAAAGCAGGCTTAACGTGTAAAAAAAAAAATGGTGTCGGAAACAACAAAAAATGCGTGCACTTTAAAAGTCTGTCGCTACATATTATAAGCAACATAAATCGGGTCAAGAAGATCTCTCAAAAAAGCGTCCCGTAAATGCATTCGTTGCTTCTCTCCTCTGCTATTGATTGGTACCACACCGGGATCAACGATCACCACAACACCAACTATTACGTGATGTTCTTCCAAAACAGCCGATGTTATAGCCGGCACAAGATCCAACGCTTCCGTTTCCGCACTGTCTGTTTCGGCAACCACAACCAAAAGGTGCGTCCAAGTGAATACAGCACTAAAATTCTTCGCAAATTCAATCAAAAAATCAGAAATAACTTTTATAATCTAGCCAACTGCATCTGATATCCTGTGGGGTCAAGAAAAATGACTCTGTATGACGGATATTACTGCGAGCGAGAGGCAGTAGCCAAAGTCAGGATGGTTCGGCATGATTGAATTCGACAGGTGGCTGAATCTCACTCGCAATGAAGGCACTATATACCAATCAGTAGACATTTAGGGGTCCACGTATGACGCCGCCAAATTTAAATTCAGTTTTCCCCGCATGCCTGGATCTCACGTTGGGAAATGGAAGAAGGGCAACAAGACATCTAAGAAGTAAGAAAAGGCTTTTATATCTCAGCTATGTGATAAAAAGCAATGTTCCCTGGCGATGTTTCTAAGTAAAAAAGAAAGAACAACGACTTTTACCATTCAATAATTTTTCTGTGGGCTCGTATAACAGTAGCTTCAATATCAACGGGATGGTATCTCATTCCACGCAACATCAGTGCCTCATCCAATGCACCCACAACAAACACTGCGTCATGCAGATCTGCAACATGTTCTGTGAAACAGCAACAAAAACTGCATGTTCAGCAGCCAATTCACCTCAAGCCTCTCCAGTCAGAACTAATTTCATTCACTTCTGGAGCTCGCTGCAAAAAGGAAACCTCCATCAGCCGTTATGGACTGCGTTTGCTTCAGAAAACCAAGATATCCCGTACGGGCAAAACGCTTCCTCGTGTCACCAGTTGTTAGCCTGCAAACGAAATCAGTAAGAAGCTAAAAAGGAGATAAATTTTTTATATTTTCCATCCGTAGATTCGCAAAATCAATACGACTTTAATGGAATCGAGTTTTTCACTACCGGCCCCGAATAGTCTTTACTGATCCCAGTTCTTACAGTCCCAGCAAAATTTAACGCTAATCCCTTAAAATCCTTACTAAAAAAAAGTACAAGTGATAAAGAAACTAAGGCAAACTGCAAAATCAATCGTCACAAAGCATACCTCGCATTAAAATGATCCGTATGTAGCGAAGTTTCTTCACCGTAAACAGAAAAATAACCGTCGGCATTATGTGCACTAGCGACCCATATTTCACCGAGATGTGAATCGGCGCACTGCCCCCGTGTTTCGGGATTCGCAATGACTACCTCAACACCCGGAAGCAGCTGCAACAAAACAGTATTAGAACTTCGCCGCAAAAAAAGCTTCATATCTACAAAAATAACAAATTTGAAATGTCATAAGCTCAATGAACCTGAACAAAAAATACACTCTGAGAGTACTCAAAAGTAAGCTTTCAGGCCATCTACAGTGCAAAAAAAAATCCATTCAGCATACGGAAAATTTACCTTTCCACTTTCCATTAAAGCGATGCTGTGCGGCGCGCCCTTTTCAACAAGTGTTACGCGATCGTTACGTAACGCTCGTGCATCTACAAAAACTGTTGTCGGATCCGGACTTGCGGCTCCCTGCATACAGATCGCTGTATTCACCTGAAGAAGCGGCATTTTCAGTACGTCTTTACGATCTCATTACAGTGCTAAAGACATCAGTAGCAAGATTTCGCTGGAAGCTCAATGCCAGATATATATCTGAAAATAGAGGTTGCGAATTTTGCCCGTAAGAAGACTTGGCATGGAAAATCACAAAATAATTACTCGACATCCAAATGAGGTGGACACTGCACGCGAATTCAGACCCAGCGGTGAAAAGAGCTTCGAGAATGCTGTGCACAGAACCACTCGTGGTCGTTCCTCCGCAACCACAACGCACGTTCGAACACTGCAACATGATTTTTACACGCACACATTACAGCATCGCCAGCTGCAAGTATTGAACAATTTCATGGCCTCAGTCATGTGTAGAAGCAGCGATGTAGCACAAATCTGATAATATGCCTAAACAATTCAATCCCAAGCAAAAGATATCGCGAAGCCAAAATACCAGAGGGATATATCAGAAGGAAAGCCTTCAACACATGGAAGATTCGGGAGACGGGGCGTTTATACACAGTATTAAAGCAGCGGAAAATCATCGCCGAATTATATGCGTGCAACACACATTCCCTAAAGAAGAGAAAAAATTGGCAAAGACGCTTAAACGTGTGCCTAAATCTCACCTATGGTGATGTGAAAGTTTTGGCGAGAAAATCTGCAAACTCGTGAATCAGAAAAGTTGGGAAGTTGACATTTTAGGAGGATGTTACGTGCTTGTATGCGTAACTGAAAATCTCAGTTTTAGCCTTTACGTACATTTAAGTCTTATGCATAAGTATCTGAATGTTTTGGTGGGAAATTTTCCAGCCCCAGATAAAACAGAAGGCTGAAACTTTAGGGGAACGTTTCCTGCCCTGTGCAATTCAGGAAGTTTTAGACTTATGCTTGAGTTTTACGTAAGGTCACGTGAAAAAGGAAATTTCGCCTGATCAAGACATCTTTGCACAGTTTCCGCACACGTCACGCAGAAAAGCAGTGAACATTTTTAAAAACAAACGTCCGTTAGGCAAACTGCACAAAACACATGATCTCATCGGCTACCTTGATATGGGTCGTTATCTATTTTAAAACATTCCATCGAATTCGTACATACAACAGCAATGTGAAGGACTCACCAGGAAAGTGAAACGCCCTTTTCTTTCAGTAGGGAAATCTGTGGCGCCAGCTCGCGCACACACAATTCCATTACACCGTATGAGCAAAATGTGTCGCGAACTGAAATATTAAAATCATGCATAAAACCCAGGCTGGAACGCACCAGGCTGGCCGGTGCGATTATGCGTTTTTGCACTTCTCGTGCCGT